GGGGGGGGGGGGGGACGCGGATGACCGTGGCTAACGAGCCAGGCAAATCCTCTGTGACCCCGTCAGGAGACACCACCACGTATACCCTCTCTCACACTGGCCCTTAAATGCGTCAAAGCGCCCTTTACCCACTGGCTTTGATCAACGCTTCCAACCGTTCCTAGGCGAACGCTCGTCCGCTCGACTTTTCGATTAGGGATTAAGGAAGGTGTGTACGCGTGCCCTCCTGGTCCTTGATCGGCCGAACGAAAAGAGCTTTGGAAAGACGGAGCTCCGAAGTGGGTCGTGATTTTCGGGTCGTCGACTTGCTGGTAAGGTTTGGAACGAAACGAACACACGGACGTGATTTAAACCTGAATGGTTCTTTCGATGGAAGAGTGGTGAAAGGATCGCATCCTTTATTTGTTCCGTTCGGCTATGGTAGTCACGAGGATATACGTAAGTGGTCTACGCTTTTGATAATTGTCCTGCTTAAAAGCTAGATCTGTCATAAGGTGATATCTCGTGCAGCTATCCGCCCCTTCCTGTTTCCTCTTTTACAAGTAGGTGGCTAGCTAATCTGCAAACCGCGACATCCTGTGGGCGGAGAAGCAGTGTAGTTATAAAGCTTCTGGTCAAAGATGAAAAATGTGCAGTGAAAAGTCGCATTCCCTAACGTACACACCATCAGCTGTGCCTCGCTCTTCCTCCCCCTAATTCTTCGTCCTCTTCTTCTTCTTCTTCTTCTTCCGTTCTTCCTTAAAGTTCAGTGTTTCCGTGAACGTCGGGACGAAAGACAGATTTTACGCAACGCGAGTGTACCGGATTTCGAACGAGTGACGACGGCCGACGACGTCGAAGAGAAGGATTTGCAGTTTGTTTCACGTGTGGGGAAAAGGCTTTAAGAACTGGCTACGGCGCGGCTCGTCATCGGGCACTTTGCTGCTTTTTAAATGCAAGCTGCCTTATGAAGGGCACCATCGTACCCAGTGAATCGCATCGCAGAGAACGTGCCTCCGTTCGTTGCGTCAACGACACGAGTGTTAAACCCCTTCCGTACAATTCGTTTTCTCGTTTTTAATATAGATAAAGTAAACGCGATTCGCCCGACGAAATGTTATGTACAAATAAATAATCGTTCGAAAAAATCTCGGCGGCTAAAATAAATTATTTCTCGCCTCCCCTCCTTTTTATAAAATCATCGACAAACGCACACACCGGCATGACTCTCCGTTTTTCAAACATTTTATTTCATTTTAAATAATAAGTTCTTACGTTAAATACGAATGATCGAGTCAAAGAGATAAAGAGAAAGGTGTAGATAGAGAGAGAGAGAGTGTGTGTTCGTGTGTGATCGTATGAATTTGTCAACGAAATGAATGTAGTAGTATCGGCGATGATCGCGTTTACGAAAAGATTCGAACGATGGCTCGGCCAGGTAACGCGACACGCTTCGCTACGAACAACAGTGATCTTATAGCAAATACGCGTAGTTTCTCTCCGTCGTCGAATAATAATACTTGCGTCGAGCGCGTTACGCCCGCGGCGAATCGCGGTTCGATTGTTCGATAGTAGAATAAATACAGAAGAAAGAGAAAGAAAGAGAACGATTGCTTCGCAATTAATAACAACAACGTAATTTCGGTTTTTAAAACTGCGTAAAGTTTGTCCCCTATAAAAAGTCAGTCTCATTTTTGTCTACGACGTGCCGCGATGATTCACGCGATTCCATTATAATTTATGTACAGCGCTTCCAATGGACGACGATGGCGCTCTTCGTCTCCGTTCCCCTGCCTGTCTTTTTTTCTTTTCTTTTCACTTTTAAGTACACGGATCGACGTCGCGATCCACGGTCGTACAAAAATAATCTGCCTGATGTCTCTCTGGACGTAAACGGGGAACCTGCGATGTTCTGCGACCACCGTGGTCCAATGTCTCGTTCGGAGCACGAGAAAACGCGATCTCGTTCGTACGGTGACCCCGATAAAAACTTTTTCTCTCAACGTTGAACGTTCGATAAAGTTTCGAGAGATAGAACCATTTAAAAGAAAATGTACAACAACGCGTAGAACTCTTGGCTTCCTGTCCGAGCGCGTCTCCGTCCCTCTTTCGACCGAAGAAGAAGGGAGGAGAGGAAAGGCTCCGTTCGATCGGCCTCGCGACCATCCGGCGCGATCGCGAAGCCGAACGAAGCTGAGAGAAGAGGACCGTTCCACGAGTATCGCGTGTCCTTATTCGAATAGAACTAGAATAATAAATAGGCACCCTGCCCGCGTCAAAAGTACGACGATTCGTTCGCGGTTCGTCGACGAAAGGTAAACGTTCGGCTCAACGGCAGGTACATACTCGTAACAGATAAATCGAGGGGGTGCGGCGATGGGTGCTCGATGATTCGCATCGATCCTTCCAAGCGAGAAACGACGTCCGTTCGTCGGGCACGACGTACCGTGGAAAGCGAGTGACCCCCGGTCGCGTCTCTCGGAAGTCGAAGTCGTCCGATCATCGAGGACCGATTCGCCGTTCGAACGGAATCTCCGGCTTTTGACCGCCGGGTGCCTCGCAACGACCTCCTTAAGCGTTTCACGGGACAAGAGGGACGTTCGCGCGTCTAACGCCAGAAAAATAGAATTTCTAGAATTTCACTCGCCATCGACCGACCGACCGACCGCGTCCGATGTAAAACGGACGACTCGACGGCCAAGCGTTCCTCCCCTTCTTTTTGTACCTTATAACGTAGTCGCAACGTTCGACGAGCATTATTTTAATCGAGTTGGCGAGGAAGAACGCCGTTCGTTTAAAACGTACAATGGAACGAAAATATTAAAGCTGATCGAGGGAATAGATTTTAACGATAAAAGGCGACGTAAAAACGGCGATGGGCTCGGCGCAACGTATACCTACCACCACCGTGGTCGTGTGGGAGCGGGATTTTCTCCCTGGTGAAACGTTCGACGAGTAGATCTGCGGTGTACGAGAGGCGTTCCAGCGGACCGAACCGGCTGATCGCCCATCGCCCGGCGTACAATACTAGGTGTTCCGAGCTTTGGTACAGGCACGTAGAAACGTCATTAAATACTATCCGTAACAATTTTATACACGATCGATCGGGCCGAACGCCGCGGCGCCGTTCGCCTCGGCAGAATTTACGAACGGTCACCGGCGTCGCTCGACTTTTGGTGGAACGAAGAAAGGTACGTAGCCGTGGGTGCTGTCTCGCCGTCCAGATCGACGATTACGCTAGGTCACCAGAAATGCGACTGCACGTAACCGCCTCCCATGCCGATCGGATTGAAGCGATGCGGGTGGATCTTCTCCATCCTCATGGCACCTGGACCGCCGCTTCCGCCCAGGAAGCCGCCGTGTGGCCCGCCACGCGGCCCGAAACCACCGCCCGCCCTTCCGATCATCCCTGGCCCACCCCCGCTGATGCTCATTCCCATACCTGGCGGGCCACCGATACCTCTGCCCCTGCCGCCGCCGCCGCCGCTCAAACCGCCGCCGGCACCTGCAAACAACGTATCTCGTCAGCGTCGATCGTCCATCGCGCCTCTAGCTGGAAACGAAGATTTAGAATGGAACGGGACGGGACGGAATCGAGGTTCGAAGGAAGCGTAAACGCTGCTCGCTTAGTGAGCGGGCACGTGATTACCGTGACGCGGTGTCCATTTTATTTTGCCGACGTTCGTATGACCGACGTTCGTATGACCGACGTTCGTATGACCGAGCACTAAGCGGGCATCGACGCGTACGGTCCGTAGAATAAAGTGGACAGATGCCGAGCGTTGCTTTCTAATCGTTTTAATGAAATTTAACGAGCGACTACAGAATCACGCGGACCCCTGTAGCAACAAGGATAAGAAAGGTGACGCGAAGTACTTGTGCGGCAACTGTCTGTTCGAAGGTAGGTTCCGTCCCGATCGCGGGATGTACGCGTGATTTCGAACCTTCTCCCGAAGGAACCGAGTGTGTGTGTTCGAGCGCGAGAACGGCACAAACGCCGTCGACGCGACGCTCGCGCGTCTCGCACGCGTCGTCGTCAGTGGTAACGATCTCGCACGACGCATCGTCGTTCGTCCTACCGTGTACAATAATTCGCAGCTCTCTACCGTATCGATGTAGACCCGCCGTGGATTCGCTCGAGCACGTGCGCGCGTCTCGTCGGCGCCCGGAATCAGACCTGGAGATCTCGTCGAAACGTGTTCATACATACGGTCGAACTCGTCTCTCAATTCGAGACGAGTTCTTCCGCTTCGGGAAATCCGCGAGGGAACTGACTTCCGGTGCGCCATTCGCGAATTCTTCCGCGCTAGACTTCTCGACTCTCTACTAGTTGTCTACGAGATCGATCTCTTACGGCAACACGAGCAAGAAGTAGAAGAAGAAGAAGAAGAAGAAGAAGAAGAGAAAAATACGATGAATGTATTATTGGGAATGTCGCAGGCATTTTTTACCGAGACTTAATACATACTCTGTCTCTCCGATTTCGTCGCTCTCTCAATTGTACGAAAGAACTCTGAGTAAAACGAACGTCCCCAATTTCCGCTCGATATCTCTCCCGGCGTCCGTCGATCACGATTGTCGTCCGCGTGCGGAACGTTGATAAATTCGACGCGGGAAAACGTACGGGACAGCGCGATCTCGGCGATTAGATGAACAGAACGCGAACAAGAGAGCGGTGAAGAGAGGAGCGAGTTTCGTTCGTTCGTTCGTTCTCTCGTTAATTTTTCCTTATTCCATATCACAGCCATCGTTAGCACTATTGGACTTCGGGATTATAACCATTTCGAACGATCTTCGATCCGTTAGACCTTACAATTTACTACTTAACGTGTTAAGTTAAAATTAGAATTTTCGGTTTATGTACACTGATCGTGGAAAACGGTCGCGTCGCTCTTTCCAAGGTGCACATGGATTTATTGCTCTCGGTCCGCTCGCTACTCGCGGCGGTCTCGTCGACTGTGTTTCGAGTTCGCTCGGCGAACAGGTGTCTGTCCTGTGGAAAGAACGACGCGCAGGAGCTCGTCGCACAGACGTTCTGAATGAATACGTTTGAGAATCTTAGCTCGTTGATTCGCCTGACTTAAGTACTAATTAAACTCTCGGTATCGATCGTCCTGGCCGTCTCTTTTTACCATTCCCTGTTTCGCCGCCCGCTCGGCGGTCTTTCGTTCGTTCGTTCGTCCGTCGACGGAGACTCGACGCGAGAAACGGTCGCGTGCAATGGCTCAAATACCGGCGCATTCGCAATATTAAATTCCTAAATAGTTTCGATTTGCTAAGTCGCGAGTTGCACGATTCTGCCTCCTGTACTCGTCGATTACATCGTGCGGCACACCTCGTCCCTGATCGCGACCCTCTCTTTCCCCGCGTGGTCGCGAGGTTCGGGTCGATCGTCGGGGACGAGGTCGGTGGTACCTCCTACAGAGATCTATTAATTGATAACATCGATTACGGACGATATATCGAAAGCGTTCGCGTCGTAGTTATAATTATGTATAAGTATGTAAGTGTCGAACGATCGGGAAAAATCTGCTAAAAAAAGGGAACGATTGTCAGGATCGTAGGAGATACGTGTTTCTTATACGCATACCTATGTATAATATCTGTCGACGTAGCCGAATCGGCGATTCGAACTTTCTTCGATCGATTCGCGTCTAAGACGCGTTCAGGATTGACAGGGTGAAAATCATTAACAGCGAAGATCGTTTAACTTCATAAATAGAAAAGATTGCCGTCGCCCCGTCGTCGGTCGACCGTTCGACCCTGGAACGATTCGCGATTCCCGACGATCGGGTCTCGGAACGTCGGGGAAAACGCGGTCGACTTCCACGGTCGATCGGTTCGCCGTTGCTCGAACGACGACTCTTCCCCTCGGTCGTTCGAGGATCTGGCCGACGTGGGATACTTTCGCTAGCTAAATTCTAAACTCTACGCTAAGGTTCACCGACGTCGGTGAACGGAACGAAGGGACCGTCTCCCGGAGAGACGGTCCGTAAAAACCCTCGGATGGAAGAACTGGCCTAACTACCGATTACAACGTCTCGTTTAATCGCTCTACCTAATCTTAAGTAAAACACAGAAACGCTTGTTTCCTTGCCGCTTAACACGTTGATCTTGATAGACGTCGAAGACACCCCGCCGACTCGGTCGACGGGGATCGACGTCCTGAGCAATTATCTCGGACAGAATAGTGCGATCGCGTCGACGTCCCGGCGCGCATACTTTCGATCAAAGTGTTAAACCGAACGCTCGACGACGAGGCGTCCCGAAGGCTGCGCGACCACGGAGGAGACCTCCGGGTGGGACCGGTGGTTCGCGTTCTTTGAGCAATTCGTGTTTAAATTTAATTTCGATCGTGGGCTCTCGTGATCCGCGCGATACAAAAAACCGAGAACGAATCGTGTTCGTGTGTCCGAGTACGTACACACACACACACAGAGAGAGAGAGAGAGAGAGAGAGAGAGTGAGAAAGAAAGGAACGAGGCGATCCGGGAGAGTGACGCGCGCGTCTCGTCTCTAGTGAAGTAGTGTTACAATAACCGTGATAACAACTTTGCCGGTGTTCGGCGCGCTTCAAACGCCCCGGAACCCGAACTCGTTTCGCACTAGGTGATTCGCGAGGCGAACGAGTGTACCGAACGAGATATCGCGTCGTTCGTTTAATAAAGATAATGCGCGTATCGCTGGTATTTATTCCTGGTCGGATACAGACGTTCTCCTTCGTCGATTGGCGAGCATAGAAATCAGAATGGTTCAAGTTAAAGAATTATTCGAAAACACTTCGTTCAGACGAATGCACTTCCAGACAAATACACCAAAGGTGCTAGGCAGCCGGTGAAGAACACACATTTTCTTTTTCTTTCTTTCCGATCGATCGTCCGACGAAAAATTATTTGTCCGTACACGCATTCGTCCGTTGTTGCATATAACATGACAATCGCATGATAGAAGACACAGCCATGCACTGAACAAACTTCTCTGTTAAAGCCACACCGTTTCCGCGAATGCATTCCGTCCAGAAACTAATCACGGATCAGCAACGACGCTCGCTAAATAAATAATTGTTCGCAGGCATACGACGATCTCGTTGCACGCTCTTTCTACGCTGCTCCAAGTCTCTCCTCTCGTAGGCACGGGTCGACGGACGCGCGTAACTACGCGTGTACAAGCGCGAGCTTTCGAGCAGCGTACAACGTCGCGAAACATCGTGTTACAAATAAATCCTACTTAATCAGAATACACGACTCACAGAAGAAAAAAAATACCTACTTCCTTCGAACATAAACACTACAGGCGCTTGTCAATCATCGTGTTTCAAACAAAAGGCCCTGATCGATAAAAAAAATACAGATACAGAGAGAGAGAGAGAGAGAGAGAGAGAGAAGAGGAGGCTGGACGAGAACTCGCGCGCGAGTCGATCAAGGATCGGAGGAGGGTTGAATAAATCCATCCGTGAACAGAAAAGTGTATTTCCATAGTCTCAAATAATTAACAAAACGTATATCTATATGCAGTACGAAGTGTCTATGTCTCGGTAGAAAAAAAAAATAAGTACAAAAAGTAGCTTAAAGACGTAAATAGTACAATGATTTTCTCTGTCGTACGCACGTCTTTCTATAAACGACCACGTGAAATAAACATGGTAACACAGCGTCAGCGGTCGGAAACAACAGAATTTACAATCTCGTCGATCCGTGCCGTGGATTCGAAACGATTAACGATTCGAAAAGAAAATGAAAAGAAATGAATAAATAAATGTACCGGCCTCGCTGGGTTCTCCTCGTTTCCGTACGCTTTCGTCTTTTCTCTCGAGAACCACGGTCATCCGTCATCGAATCTAGCAGGAATACGACGATTCTCGTACACGTTTATCAGTAGGTTTTCGTCTCGTTTCTTGCTCTCGTCCATTATAAAAAATCGTCACACGCAAAAACGTCTCTGTCACAGTGACACTTGCTCTTCCGTTTGCGAAACTGGCGTGTCGCGTCTCTTACCGTCTCCCGCGTGCGACCGAACAGCACCGCCGGAGAGATCGTCGTCTGGCTCTCGTGTGTAGCGAATGTATGCAAACAATCTCATGCGCACAACGTCGAAAAAATTCTTAACGAAAATGGAACACAGAGAAAATGAACAGCCGCGACAACGTGCGTCTCTACGCGGACGGGTAGTACTCGCAGAGAAACGCGGCGTGCGGCATCGTTTTATCGTTGCACGCAGCATTTGGAACGCAAACAGTATTTTCAATCTTCGCCGTACATCGACTTAGATACAGCCGTATCTGGCAAACAATTATCAAACGTTAAAACACCGTTCTCGACGTTCGACGACCAAACACGCTGTCGACGATGCAAACTCTCCTTCAAAACAATCTTGAATAGAAGGAACATCCACATCCTGGACAACGCGATCCAAACAATGAAAAAGAAAAAGAAAGAGAAAAAAAAAAAGAAAATGCGAGAAACTTTGACAGACCTTGCGACTGTTTTACAGGAGTTACATCTCGCGTCAGAGCGTCGCTGCCCCGACTTCACCGGGTCTACACGTCTCGAGGGGGGATACGAGGGTAGAAACGAGAATGCGAGAAACCGACGGGACGAAAGAACAAACAGCCGAACAGAACGAAAGGAACAGAGACGAGTAACACGGACGTGTCCCATCGAAACAGATAAATACGACGCGACGTCGACTACGATTCCAACGACAACGGCAATAGAAAGTGACGCAAAACCGCGGTTGTACTCCGATTTCGATCGTGGGAGATCGATGGTGAAGCCAAAATGCAAACCCGTCAGTAAAAATCCAACGTAATTTAAATAAGTGAAATAATAAATAAATTAGTCGGTTTCGAGATACGTGTAATTTCTACTGGCAGGTCGAAGAACGAAAGAATGTACACGGGCAAGGCTAATATTAATCGTCCACCGAGAAAATCGCAGTTACTTACCTCGACTCTGATTGTAACCGGCCTGCCACCCGGCATAGTACGCTGCCTTTTGTTTCCCGTGTTCCTCCGCGATTTTCACGCTGAGCGGCTCCGTTCCACCTTGCGGTATCGTGCCGTGTAGCCGCGCGATCGCTTCTTGCGCCTCTTCCCGCTTGTCGAATCTAAACGGGGGCGTAAAACGGAGGGCCGGGTAAGAATCCATGGAGAAAGATCGCGCTTGGCAATGAACGACGGTGCCCGATCCCTGCCAGATATCTGGGTACGCGTGCGGAATTTATCCGGATCTAGAGCAAGAGGTCTCTAACGAGACCTTAGATTCTGCCAAAATTAAGAGAAATCGTCCCAAACGGATCTACGGATTCTATTTAGAGACGGCCGACACACGTTCTCGGTACTATTTTCCCGCGGACCAGAAATCTAGTTGCACGCGCGCGCGGTTCACGGTGATCTCCAAGTGGGCCGCTCGGTGGTCGGGCAATTTGGGTAAATCCAAGTTATGCAAGGGAAAGGCGGCGCGTGCGTACGAAAATAATTTGGCAACGAATATCGCGAAAAATAAATACACAGGTGCGTCCGACGCGCATGGAATAACTAGTTGCACAACGAGCAGGCCACGAACGACGGCGTGATCCGTCAACCGCGCGTGTCCCAATTCTCGCAACGAGGAAAACAACAAAAATACGGTCGACCGAATAAACGAACGATCATGCGGTACGTAACGACGACGCCGACTGTGCGTCGCCACGGACATTCGGTTACTAATTATGACGGGAACGGCAGCGTGCCAACGACGACCGACCGATGTTCTCCATTAGCGCGTCGATTTGCCGTTCGACGCTAAACGACGCGGCCCTTTAGAAACGTAAAAAGTCCGACCAACTACCACCGCGGGGAAATGAAAACGCGCAGATATCGAGGGTACATCGAGAGAACGCACCTTACAAATGCCACGCCCCGCGGCAATCCGGTGAGTTTGTCTTTTAAAATGTTCTTTTGCACGATGTTCCCGTATTTGCTAAATATATCGTCGATCTGACTCTCGGTTATGTTTCTGAAACAGAAAGAACGTCGCGTTCAAACGCGTCTCGTACGCGTCGAGTACTCGCGCCCAGTGAACTGTGGCCAAATACCTTGGCAGATTCGTGACGTAGAGATTGGTCTCCTTGATCTCTTCACCGGACGGCCTCGCGAACGACACTTTCAGCCTTTTGTTCTGGACCTGGAGCCCGTTCAAGGTGCTTATAGCGGTGGCCGCGTCTTCGGCTTTCGCGTAATTGACGAAACCGAAACCGTAACTGTATCCCGTCTGAAAACGAAACGATCGTTAGCAGAGTAGTCTGTACGGCGGGTGAATAGCTACGGTAGGTGCGGTCTCGGAGAAACGAGCTTACTTTGTAATCCTTCATGACGCGACAGGACTCTACGGGACCGATGGTCACGAACAGACTGTAAAGGTCCTTCTCGGTCATGCTCTGTGGAAGATAGTTGATGATCAGATTTGTTCTCGGCTCTTCGTTTCCTTTGGTTTGTTGTTGCTGCTGCTGCTGCTGCTGCTGCTGCTGCTGATGGGACTGCTGCTGCTGCTGCTGCTGTTGTTGCGGCTGAGGCTGCTGTTCTCGCTGATCCGTCATGTCGGCAAACTCTTGCTTTATTCTCTGTTGCTCTTGTTGCTGCTCGGTCCCCGCGGGCTGACAGTTCTGCTGCTCCGGTTGCTGCGTACTCCAACTTTTGATTCATCCCAGGATAACCGTCGATGGGGTCAGCAAATACAAAAAATATAAACAAAATCGTTACTACGTCTTCCCCGTGCAATGCCATGATTGGTTGCTTGTGGCCTGTGCGTTTGAATGCTCTCTGCTTTCTTTAAGCGGTTCAAAATAAATAGAAAATAAATCTGCATATATACAATATATGTATATGATGCCAGACCTGTGTGTCAGAAACAAACAAACAAAGGCAAGTAAGGACAAAACAGAATCAGCGAGAGTAGCCATGAATGAAACCAACTAAATCAAACGGAGTAGCTCTAGCATGTATCTATGTATGCGAATTGGGAGACCAAGCACGGGATACCTTACTCCGATAATAGGTAAACGCGTTCGAACGGCCACGCGTACGAACGGTACATTCGTGATTGCGATCGAATCGATTCATAATAAACAGGAGGATGCAGAAGCTGCCGACGCTCACCGTCGTAACCATAACCTTCTCGTAGATACAGATACAGGTAAAGATTGTGTCGTGACACGGATCGTGCACGTTGACACATCGACGAAATTCCATTCAGACGTTTAAGGGACGAGCGGATAACCGCGGACAGTGAAATCGTGTCTCGATAAGGCGATGTTATTGTGTGTAAGGCGGGTTCACTGGAACCGGGTATGAAAAACGAGGATACTGGGGGACGGATTACGGTTCGTTGACGAGAATTTCCGCGTACTCGACCGCTTCGTGTCTGTTTACTGTTTATAAGCCATGTCCCGATTTTTATTACCGAGAACGTAAAGCATCGTCGCCTCGTCTTCGTGTTATATATCATTAACGACCGTCGATAAAACGCCCCGTGCTCTTTGTAATTATCATTCGATACGCCGGGAGGGCGGGGGGAAAAAAAAAGTAGATGCGAAAATTCAGCGGCAAACGGGAACCCTGTTTGACCTCATTTCGGAGATTGCCCTCGTAACACCATCTTTGCGCGTGTACGTCCGAGAGCGAGAGAGCGAGAGAGAGAGAGAGAGAGAGCGAGAACGAGACGGGACGAGAACGAAATGAACAGAGGAGAAACGATAGCGCGAGTCAACGGAAAGAACGGAAATCGGAAGGTTCACCGACGAAAATGAACCCTGTCCGACTTTGTTTCACGGGCGGATGGGGGCCCGGGAAACTGGCCCGGCCGATCCGTGAATCGACCAAGCTGTCACAATATGGAGGGAGCGAGAGGGAGCCGAGGGCAGATTGGAGCGGGCGCTAGACAAGGATGGGCTTATCCGAAGATAAACCTTCGCCAAGGGTAGGGTTACGGGAGTATGAGATATAAGAGTACGTACCGAAGCGAGCGAGAAGTAGTCCGGTGGAGGAAACGCGGCGCGCAGCGCGGTCGAAGGAAGATCGGATCTCGGTGAAAAAGGGTAGGCGCGCGTTTACTGGTGTCACGCGCGTATATGCGCGACCGTCTTTCGTTTTAATGCACGCCAACAATTATGTAAGCCCGTTGCACCATCGCGAACCACGCACCGGTTCGTTATCACAGTTGGTAGGCGACTGGCGCGCGTTCCGTGTCGTCGCTTTCGCGGTGCGTTACAACCAGCCAGGGAGGGCCTCGACGCGCAGAGAACGACGAGAAGAGTTTGCGGTCGACCGATCGCGGAGGAACGTGGCACGTAACCCGAACGACACGGCGTACGCAAACGTACTGACCGACTAGTCTTCACTTACACTTACTTACGCGGCGAGCCCCAGCCCCTGACCTGCCTCTCATCCCGTACCCGTGCGGCACCCTCTCACGGCACACTGTCCCACTACGCGACTCCAATGCCGAGATCTATAGAGAGTTTCAATTAATTCGTATTCGCGACCCGTTGCTACTCGTTGAAAACGAAAACCGACGGGGAGAACGACCCTGCGCCGCGGCCCGTGTCGTCCAAACTATCGATCAAGCATCAGACGTCCGAACGGATTAACTGAAAACACACACGGAAGATCGTGGCGCGTAACGAATGCTATGCCCGCGATGAGACGGCCTGTACAACGGGGATGCGCATGGGGCGGACAGATCCCGCCTAAATTCTTGGCGCATGTTCGCGCGAATCCGGGGCTTACGCCAATTTCGCCCATTATTCTATTCCCTCGACGAATGATTTTTAAAATAGATCAAATCCACCACCGATTTCATTTTTCAGCGATCACGTCGTTCGAGATCGACGGCCGAGAGTGAACCTGATCTTGCGAATCTACGAGAGCGTTCGTCTCGTTTAGGCGTACCTCGGTAATGCTTCCCAATAAGAAACCGCGAACATCGGAAACTGAACGCGAAACTTCACAGAAATATTATCGGAAATCTCGCGGTAATAACCTGCTTCGCAGAAATAAAAACGACGACTGACTCCTACCTACGGCGCACGATCCGATTTTCTCCTGTTCTTTTCAGGGCTTGTTTTGTTTCGAGAAACGAGGTTACTCTGTCAATCGTTGAAAATTGTACGCATTTCCGTCCTGTTTATGCATCGCGCAGATCGTACGCGGACGAGAACGGGGAAATACTAATAGAAAATAATCCTATTAGAAACGAATATTACGTAGAACGATTACGAGACTATTTGCCTCCTTCGAACTAGGGCTCGGACGAACCGTTCCCTTACAGGAAACTCGCAGTTCTTTCGAGTCCGCGAGATACCGCATTGCGCTAATACTGCCACCGTTTGCCATAACTGCTGTCGTATGTAACAAAGTGAATGTTCCTTCCACCCAAAAGCTACGTACACGTACGAAAAAAATTAACGACGCAATATGATCGAGCGTCAACGCGTGCACATGTACGTATTGTATGTATGTACGAGAACTGTGAATTAAAAATAGGCGAACCAAATGTAAGTACTGTCTCCGGCGTGTCTAACCTCCGTATACGTTTATTGACCGACGAAACGCAGTAATGCTCGGAACAGCAAACAGATCTTTCGACTTTCCCGGCTTCCATTCCCGACGTGCATTAAAATCCTCGATGAGAAGAACTTACCCCGTTCGAGGATTCGCGTCGTTCGATGCACCTCCTTTTTGCTCCATCCCGTGAATTTACGAAACATCACGTTATATCACCCTCGGACTTTTCATTTTTGCCTCGTCGTTCGCGTCGTATTCACCAAGTTTCCCGGATGCAATCGCTCATGTTCCACGGATCTTTCTTTTCCCGGTTAAGCTACAAACGACCCGCACGCACACGGACACAGAATTTATTACTCGTCGTCTTTCGCGTTCGATTTCGATTATAATTTTAATCGGATCCGACTTCGCGATCCCGACGCAACGAGAAAAACGCGCTGGGAAAACTCATTAGAACCTCGAACTGTCCGATTAATCAAAATCGTTTACGGTCATCCGATGTTTTCTCGTTGACAAGGAAACGAGGAACTACGTACTCGCTGTGAGAAACATTGTTTTTATGCACCCGCGCGTATCCCGATCGAAATATACAAACGACAAACTGAACGCAAACACGGAGCGATCCCACTCGCGTTGGCGTTGGCGGTGAACTGCTCCTCTGTCGGTTGTGTCGCGTGAAGGTTAGGTCGGTGCATGGCGCGAGGCGCGAGTTTCAATTACTCGTGTTCCTACGTACAGGCGAGAATAATTCTCTTCGAAATCTAATCCTACATAGTAAAAACCATGCGTCCACTGTGCTTCTTGTCACTTCAAGTTTTATTCGATATTGCCGTCGTCATAATTGTCGATATAAATACGTATAAAAAAGTATAAATACGTTGTACATTGCATGTCCGTAAATACGTAAAGCAGCCTGACGTCATGATATCGTGGATAATGCGCGAATAGACAATGATACGTTCATGCGAATCGTTACCTTGATTAAAACATCGGAACGAACGATTACGCGTTGCACAAGGCACAAAAATTGTCCTAGGCGAATCGTCGGAAAGTAGGAGGATCGTTCCGTTGACTCTCAAAGAGAAACGAATAAGAAAAAGAAAATGGGACGAAATAAGAATCTTATCTCAATACAGAGAATCCTTTGGCTCTGGTGAAACGAAACGGCCTGCATTGAATGTAACGCGCGTTCGACCCTGGACCGTGCATCGGAGTTTCACTGTTCTCCTTGTCCCAAGCGTGCCTCGGAGATTCTATACCGAAAGGGCTGTAGAGTTTGGTAGGCGTTCTACCAAGAATCTGGCGAGTACGACTCTGCGGCGTTTGCATTTTACAAATACTGTTCGGCGACTGCTGCTCTTCCAGTCTTTGACGTCTACGTGTAGAACTTTTGAACTTCTAAACGGACAACAATAAAAATCGTTATGAAAAGTAGCTGTCGAGTGGCTCGTTACCAATATCTATGTACGTTCTTATTCTTTTCATCGTTCGATCAGCAGACCTGCGAGATGGTGCCGAAGGTGGTGCGCACGGAGGATATGGTTCTCGACAGTTTCTCGGCCCCGCTCCGCAGGGCACGTCTCGAATCCGCTGACACATTACCGAGAGTCAGATTATTCCAACTCCGATCACCTGTTTGCTTCTCCTTCGATCGAATTTTTTCCTTGCACGAATCACTCGGTTTCTCCTTCTCGAAACGATCCTGGAGGCGTCGTCGGAGATTCTTCGTGCTCTTCGAATTGATCTCCGGCGAATTTTTTACACTCATCGTCAGAACGTCCCGATGGAACGTGAACGAAACGCTTCGCGAATCCGGCCGCATACTTCCCAAACTGTTCCCTCGCGTTCTTCTCACCGGTTACGATTTCTAACTCTGAATAAACTTCTGAAACGTCAGTTAATTAACGCCGTCGGGAAATGGTACGGAAGCCGAGATGATTCGATTCATCTCTCGGATGTACGGTGCATACACGTACTACGAGCGTCGGAGGCGTCGTTGCCAACCGTTATAGCTGGTCGGTCGGCGTCCCTGAGGAGCGTCCCGAAACAAGAATGGCCGCGGACAACGGAATCTCAATTCCCGACTGCCTGGCTTCCTGGTTTAAAAATAATATTTAAATTCTTCTATTTGCTCGCGTTCCTCAGAATCGTCGAATGAATCGTTACTGATCGCGTGGCCGTGAAAGCGATTTCAAATGCGAGAACAAATTTCGTCATAGCGCTCGATATATATATATATATATATATATATATATGTGCCCGTCTATACGCGTGTATTCGTTGAATTACATATATGTCGTGATGTACGATGTAACATTGATTTCCATCCACCTGATCATTTCACCTACCCTTTCGCTACCTAATCCGCGTTATTAATTAACTTAATGCGTGAGGGATCCTCTCGTTTCATTTTGAAAAACTACTGTTCAATTTTAAAAGTCTCGCCGGAGTTGAGGTAGCTTCTAAAGAGATGGTGCTGTCGATTCACTCGCTCCAGATGTGCTTCCTGCTCGGCGAGACAGAAGTTCTGACAGTAGTAATGTCAATTTTTTAATCTTAAATAATCGCGAAATAAAAGACGAAGGATCTTAACCGTTCCTTCGCGCGAGACGGTAAAATGGTATCGCGAGTTGACCCGTACAAGTGAACAGGCGTATTCGCTGACACAACGTAACACAGAACGTATATAGAACGTAACCTCGCGATGAGTTATAACAAGAAAGTGTCGTACTTTTACAACCCGGACGTCGGTAATTTCCATTACGGACCCGGGCACCCGATGAAACCCCACCGGCTCTCCGTCATCCACAGTTTGGTACTGAATTACGGCCTGCACAAGAAGATGCAGATCTACCGCCCGTACCGGGCCAGCACCCATGACATGTGCCGCTTCCATTCGGACGAGTACGTCGAGTTCTTGCAGCGAGTGACCCCGCAGAATCTACAAGGATATACCAAGTACCTGAGCCATTTCAACGTAGGCGACGACTGCCCGGTGTTCGAGGGACTGTTCGATTTCTGCTCGATGTACACCGGCGCCTCGTTGGAAGGTGCCACCAAGTTGAACAACAACTGCTGCGACATCGCCGTCAACTGGAGCGGTGGGCTTCATCACGCGAAGAAGTTTGAGGCCTCCGGCTTTTGTTATATCAACGACATCGTGATAGCGATCCTCGAACTGTTGAAGTATCACGCGCGGGTACTTTACATAGACATAGACGTGCATCACGGGGACGGAGTGCAAGAGGCGTTTTACCTGACCGATCGGGTGATGACCGTGTCTTTTCACAAATATGGCAACTACTTCTTTCCCGGCACCGGCGACATGTACGAGATCGGGGCGGAAAGCGGCAGGTATTACTCGGTGAACGTCCCATTGAAGGAAGGCATCGACGACGCGTCCTACGTCCAAGTGTTCAAGCCGGTGATATCGCACGTGATGGAGTTCTTCCAGCCGACGGCGATAGTGTTGCAATGCGGGGCGGATTCTCTGGCGAACGATCGTCTCGGCTGCTTCAGCCTCAGCACGAAGGGTCACGGGGAATGCGTAAAGTTCGTCAGGGATCTGAACGTACCTCTGCTGACCGTCGGCGGTGGAGGATACACTTTGAGGAACGTAGCGCGTTGCTGGACCTACGAGACCTCGTTGCTCGTCGACGAACAGATCAGCAACGAGTTACCGTACACGGAATATCTCGAGTACTTCGCTCCGGATTTCACATTGCATCCGGACGTCGTCACCAGGCAGGACAACGCGAACAGCAAGCAATATTTGGAAGCTATCACTAGGCATGTTTACGATAACCTGAAGATGATCCAACACTCACCGAGCGTACAGATGCAGGACGTTCCTTGCGACGCTCTCCCCCCGGAGGAGGATCGTCAACCGGAACCAGATCCGGACTCCAGACAAAACACACAGGACACGGATAAGATGGTCGAGCCGGCCAACGAGTATTACTCCGGGGAGAAGGACCAGGATAAGATGGACGTGACCGAATCGTGATAATGGGCGTATTCATCGTTTCCACCGGAATCATTGACCAGAATTATTTAGGGCTGAGGTGCTCTTTCGCAGGTGTTCGTCGTGTACATACTACGTCGTTTATGTAAACTATCATTCTTGTGTAAATAGCGGATCATTAAACCCGTTTCTTACTTCTGGGTTCTCGTTCTTCGTACGCCGATCCCATAAGTAGTCATTAGGCAAGTTTATTGTTTTATGTCAGACAGCGTATTGTCTACAATGATACAACAATGACGATGAGGATGATATTAATTGTAATAATAGTATTAATAGTAGTTAATAATAATAATAATAATAATAATAATAATAATAATAATAATAGCAATAACGATAACGTTTTCATCTCTGTTTCGGGGCTATCTCGCTATATCACAGAGAATTTAATCTTTATCGAATATCTTTTCGTTCGTACCTCATATTCTCGGAAAGTAGAACTTAAAAACTCTCGTCTCCTTCCCTTACTATAGATTTGCTGCTCGGCTTCCGTACAATATACTCCTCTTACACAAGTCTACATATGTATACACTAAAAACGCGACTAACGCAATAAATTAGGTATTATCTCTTTCTTTTTTAAATTAAGGCGCTTGGTTCTGTACACGTTCGTTCGTTTAAAACTTTACAAAAGTTTCTCGAAAAATAATACAAGTATAAAAATACTCACGGTACGAGAGGAACGGAAATATATCTCGACACTTCGGTTAGTTCGTAGTTGCGAGAGATGTGAAGCTTCACGACGTCGATCGATAGAGAAAAAATTCTTCTCGCATTTCAGTGTCGTAAAATGATGATGCGTTGGCTTTTCAAGGAGGCACTGATAAAGATGCACACGCATAAGAAAACTCGACGTAAAAACTTGCATTCATTTCCTGCGTCTCCGTCTGCGTATTCGTTTCTCTACAAACGACTGCTTCTATTTCTTTGCATCTGGTTCTTGTAGTAACGCGCGCGCACGAACGTGTGCCCGCGTATATATATTTTTATATATACATAAAAACGTTCAGTCTCATAGTGAAAGAAAGAAGCAATTCCATTTGGTGTTAGGCTGCTTAGTGTCCTAGAGAGTTTCGCGATCGTACATTATTAGGCATAGACGCACGTACAGGCAGTGCTATGAATCCAGCGATCCTTGAAAATCCAAAAAGATCAAACGCCCTCGGACAGAATATTTTCCCTATAGTATCTGTTCGTTGGATAGTTTCTGCTTGACTAGACGATCTTGTTCTTGATTCACTCTCGGTAGGAGAGCCTCGGGGACCCGCCACGGCGATGCCAGAACCAATAAACTATGTTTCGAAGTGCTTGTAAATACTGGTCACGTACGTCATTACCTGTTGCCAGTCGGGCCGCTCCAGTTGACACATCTCCCCTATGTTCTGCGAATCAGATCAAATGCTTCGTGAGTCACGCTCACTCGATCGGCAGTGCGCAAAAATTGTATCGACGAATCGTGTGATTCGAAACGCACCAGGGTGGTAGGTATGCCAACGCTCTCGGCGGCGGAGAAAGCGATGGAGAAGTTTCTCCTCTTCTCCACGGGCGTCAACGTGTCGTAGGGTACCTTGTGAGGGAGATAGGAATGGAGTATGGCGCAGAGCGCCAATCCGTCGTTCCACGAGCTACTGAAATTCGTGATGTCGATATTCCGATAGCCAATCGTTTTGTTCTGACACCATTTCAGCAACGCGTTGCGTTTCGACCCGCCGTTCTTGATCAGCCCGAGGAGAGGGTCCTTTCGTTCCGACAAGTCGGTCACGCTGTTCCGGCGCACGAAGTCGATGGCCTTGGCGTTCAACGCGGCGGAGTCCAGCAGCTCGCCAGGATTCAACACCACGGGCACCGTAGTCTTTGTATCTGCACCGAAATGTTTCACGACGATTGATCTACCGATGCCGAGGATTTCGCTGCTTCGTGATCGCGCATCTCTGCGGCAACCGCAGAAAATCCGACCCGTCTTTAAAATTACCTGACAACGGCTTCCTAGCGATCGTAGTTTGAGTTTTGTTATTGTTCGTGGTGTTCGCCGTGCATATGAGATTATTGATCTGCTGCTGGTCCCGGAGCGGAGCCTTCAACGTCATTATATCGTTCGTTCCGATGGAATTGAGAGAGGACGTGGAACTGCTACGACTCCCAGGGCCTGCGCATCCAATAACAATAACACGGAATTAATGCTAAGGTGGTTTCACGGGTCTTCGTTCTGTATATCGTACCCGCTTTCGCTTGCTTCGTGGCGTTCTCGATACTTTCTATAAGACACTTCACGGACAGCCTCGAGTCCTGCCGCGATATGTTGGCTTTCCGACGAGCGGCTATCTCCTGCTGCACGCTCGTCAGCACGCACTGCTGAGTATCCGTCGGTGTACTCGCCGGCCTCTGTGGCGGCTGTTGGGGTACCTTCTGGTTAGCTGAAATACCAACGACACGAATTGTATTTAAAAATGATCTCGGCATTACTCGTCTAGAACGAAAATAAGCAATAAGCGCTATGTTTTACACGTAAAAGAAAGCACAAACGTGTGACGAGAAAACAAACAGAAATAATTCCGATCCTCTTGGCTCGTACAGGGCCACAAGTATAATATTTACAGGTAGAGATACTCGTTGAAAGTGAGCGTGAAACAGGTGTGTGGCGGTAGTGATTCGACGAGGAACGACCAAAAAAAAGAGAGAGAACAAAACATGAAAGCTACGTATATTCCAGGGCGTGGAAACAAAAAGACTAGAGAACATAAGCTGACAACACGATTAATCCAGACACTGTGACGAGTGAAAGAACGGGGGGGGGACCTAGAAGAGATACGTTTCGGACTACAGCAACGAGAGGGGATGTAATTACGAGTGTTTTAACACGTGAGAGACCAGGGATAAACAAATTCTGGGATTTGAACTCTGCGAAAATACAAGCAAAATCACGTTTCCACACTACGGTGTTTGGCGACTTACGGTCGCGTATTGTACCTATTTGCCGGCCTGGTCTCAGTTCCACATCCTCTACGATCGTCTCAAATTTCTCTCTCAAAGACGAGGTCCTCCCTATGGAAGACTCTTTATCCTTCGACGGCGAATCGTGTTCAACGTCCGTGTGATTGCTTTTCTTCTTCTCATCGACGACTACCGGGCCGTTTCTAGCGTCGGATTCTATGCTGGCCTCGGATTGGAATAAGTTCGTGTTTAAAAATTTCATTCGTTTCAATCTGTTCGCTTCGCAAAGAGTCAGATTCCTTCTGGTTTCCTGCAGTTCGTCGTCGAATTTCGAAGCGTCGTTTGCAATCTTTCGCCTGGAAACGGAATCCACTGCGCGCACTTCTTCCTTCGAATGCGTGGTCGAAGTGTTCTTCGACGCGGGGGACGCCGACGATGCGTCCACGGTTGCTCTGGGTAAATTCTCCACCGAAGCGAGAATCGAACTATGTTTCTCTCTGTCTCTGTCCCTTTCTCTTTTTGTATTCGAAACGTCGAAGATTTCCGGTTTTCGGTACAGAGAAGAAGCAATCTGGATACTTCTCGGCCTTGGAGTCGGTCTAGGAGGCATCGCATTTTCGCTATTGTCCACGTTGTCGATCGAACAGGTTCGTAGAGTAAGATTGTCCAAGGAAGTGGAGAAGATTCGATTTTTTAATCCGGAGTTGAAAATATTCTGCTTGCCGGTGGTGTCCAAGAGAGAGTCGACGATTCCACTGCCCGTTCTGGATTCGTTTTTCTTCAGAAACAGTCTACGTTTCGCCTGCATGGAGGAATCGTGATCGCGTTCCTCCTCCGAGTCTCTGGAGGTTCGTAACGCCAATGAATTTTCTTTGTCCCTCGTATACTCCGCCCTGATCCTCTGTGACGGTCGAATTTCCTGACTGCCATTGTTTTCCGCAATCACCGAGTTCGTTTCGGTGCTCTCCTGCAACACTTTTCTCATCTCCGGATCCACTTCGAATCTCAAGTCGTCCATCGCGTTCTCCACGCCGGAGTACACATAGTTTTTGGGGACGAAAAATCGGCTGTTCGAAATCTCGATACCATACGAATCTGTCCCAACGTTCTGAATCCCCTTTATGTTCTTCAATAAAGTCGACCGACCAACTGGCTTCGTCTCCGAAACTGATGCTGGGACTATGTACAATTTCGGGTAATCCTCGGCGATCTTCGAAAACTCGTTCGCACTTTCGACGAAAGAAGTTTCCTTCCGATCGCAATCGCCCTTCGAGAGACATGGATCCTGAGAATCTCCATCTTTCGATCCGAGCGAAGAACGGGTGGAGTCAGTTCCTTCATTCGAAATTAGTTTCTTGTCCAGTTCGGAGCTGGACTCTTTTGAATACGCTGCAGCGTTGCAATTATCAGATTCGACATCCTCCCGACGAGTAACCGAACGTTTCTCTCTCGCGTTACTCGCACCACGGAGTTCGGTCGTTATCATCTCATTGTTAAACGAACCCGGTGTCGAAGCGCTTTTTTTGGGATCGTGCCGTCTTTTTACGATGGTACGGCCGCGTTTCAAAATACAGCTCGCAGGTTTGCGAGAATTTCCAGCAGTGCTACCGAAACACTTACATTGAGGAACTGCGGTGCTGCCTGACATCCGAATGAAATTGAAAAAAGAAAAATACAGATAACATGTAGGTAGGAAGTATCGCATCGACTACTCTCGATCCACGATAGCCACGGCACGTTAAAATATGCAATCGTCAATCGTTTTTCCTAATCGACCATCGACCGATCGAACGGGCACCGTTTCCCTGGCCTAACGTCGTGATTCGAGCTAAAATTCTGTTTGCGCTAAGCTCACGATCATCTCCGACCTGTGTCCGAAAGGAACCGCGCGCGACGTAAATACGTATGTTCACTTACCTTTGTTCAGTTTGTCGAGCTGCGCCTCCAACGCTCTCAACTTGTCCCTCTGCGCCTTATTTTCCATGACGACGCGCTCCAACTCGGTCTGAGCCTCTGTCTTGAAATCGTTCGCGACCCGAACGGTCATCAAGAGATCCGTCTGAAATTGTTCCCACTCGGCGACCTCCTCCTGTCTCAGTTTACGCTCCTCGGCGAGAGAACGCTCCAACTCGTACTGACGGGACTGAGCCTCGCGTTCCCGTCTCTGGGCCTCGTTCAACGCTGCTTTCAACTCCCTCTTGTCTTCCAGATGCCTCTGACACTGCGCCTGCAATTCTGCCAGGGAATCCCTCACCAATTGCAGCTCCGTGCTCACGGACAATCTCTCGTCCTTCAATTGGTCCAGTCTGTATTCCAGGTCGTCGATCGCCGACTTGGCATTATTGCGTGCTACCTAAAGGGAGGAGACTCGACGTGTCAAACTGATTTACTCGCCGATCACCGATGCGACCCACCTTGTATTCTTCCTGAAGCTGCGAGTACTGATCCCTGAGACGATCATGGTCGCAATGAGAGCGCGCCAGCTGCTCCTGCAGCGCTGCCGCCTGCGTTTCCAAAGTATCCTTCTCCCGTCTGGCCGCGTCCAGAAGTTCGTCCGCCTCGCTCTTGTTCTCCACCTGCCTCGACTGCTCCAGTTCCTCGATCTTGGCTCGGGCATTCTCCAAAAGCGTGGCCAACCTGCTGATCTCTATGTTTCGATTCGCACCATCCTGTCTAGCCTCCGCTAACTCAACGTCCAACTGTCTCCGCTCGATGTTGGCCGTCTCCAGCGAAGACTCGAGCACGTGCACGCACTTGGTCAACCGTTCGGTCTCCGCTGCGCTGATCTCCGCGGCCGCTCGAAGGTTCTTCACCTCGGACGTCAACTCCTCCTGTTTTTGCAGCAGCGATTCCCGTTCTTCTTGAGCACTCTGCAATCGACCGATGCGATGGTTCCGTGGCTGAACGATTTACTACCTAACGATCTAACGGAAAACTGTGTACCTTCAAAAGGTCTACTAATTTCTGCTCCCGCTCCGTGTTGTATCCCTTGGACGATTCCTGAGGTTGCTCCTCCCTCAGCAACAGACCCTGTAGCGTGTCGACCTTGGACCGGGAGTCCTCCAGTTTCTCCGTTTGCCTGCACAGCGACTCCAGAAGCACGTCCTTCTCCTCTGTTAATCTCTCGTTGTCGGCTTGCAACTCCGTAAGCTGCGCCTGTACAAGGGAGAAGGGGGATCTTCAAGAAAACGACGACGCGACCCGCTCTATGCTTAGACACCGCGAAGATGTGATACGCACTTGCAAATCGCTCAGTTCTTGAATCGTTGCCTGCAACTCCTCGTTCGTCGAATAGTGCGTCTCCTCCATTTGTAAAATCCTGTCCTGCAGGCAGGCGACGGAAACTTCGGAGCTGGAAGAGCGTTTGTCCCAATCAGGAGTGGTGCACTGAGCACTGTCCTGGGGCACGTTCGCCACGGTCGTGGAACCTTCATCTTGGGGAATCGCTATCGACGCCGGTGCGGAGTTGTGCAGCCTCGAGGCGTCCAGAAGCAGCTGTTGCTTCTCCGTATCGGACAGAGGGGAATGAGCCACGTCCCTGAGTCTTGCCCGAAGAGCTTCGTTCTCTTCCGCGAGACGTTCCAACTCCAAGCTGTGCTGTTCCTGCGCTTACGAACAGCCGCAACTTTTTAGAGATCGTCCACGTGAACGCATGCAAACCGCGCGTTACTTCTCATCGAGCCGACCGAAAGCGGTTATCCGCTATTACCGTACACTCTTCATCGGTCTCTCGACCGCGTTATAAAAGGCACGACGCTTACGTAAAGGATAACATGGTGGTCGACAGCGTTTACGTACGCGTACTCTAATTACTCGAACCGAAGTCGGGTACGAGGGAACGCGATATGCTCGGTCGCGCGAGACACGGTGAACGACGCAGACAAATCCAAGTTGCCGATTCAAGGCGACGAACGAATCTTCTTCCCTCGATTCGACTCCCGGCGAGTACGAGCGCGAACAAGTGTCATCCAGTTCCTAGGTTAGGTTCCGTACCGTTTCACCGACGGTCTCGCTACTTTCTAAACGCGCGGCCATTAGCTGTTTACGACTCGTCGTAGGAACAGAAACGAGCTATAAAACAAGGTGTACCTTGTCGTTTACCGTGGACGACGAATGACAACGTTTTTTCATAGCGTTCGCAGTCGTTTCGCTCCGCAAGCTTCCCTTTCCTTCGTAAACATCCCCACGTTCTACGCCCTCTGGCCGACGCGGGACGATGCCGACGGACAGGAAAGCACGGGAAACTTTCACGCGGCAAAAACGTACGAACGAACGATTTCAATCGTCGCTCGATTCCACGAATCGTCCCGGCGTCGTCGACCATTCTCGAGTAGACTATCCAGTCGTCTGTTATGTAACGTGCACGAGTTTTTCGTAACGTCGAACGGAGAGAAAAAGTATCACCCACGTTCACCTTGAATCATCGACGACGTCGACGAAGAACCGCGTTGGTCGCGCGCGGAAAACGCCCGCGAAGACGGTTCACCATGTCTCTTTACCTTGTACGGTCCACGTTGACGGATGGAAGTGGGAGGAGCGGATCCACGAGGTGAACGATTGAGAGAAGGCTCGGGGAGAGGGATCGGAATGTAAGGAAAAGATCAGACCAGCGGCGGCGGGCGCTGCATCTCCGTTGGAGCGTCCAATTTTTATCTCGTTAAAAGTTCAAGCTCCCTCGGACACCTGTCGCGCCGCGGAACAATGGTCGACCGATCGACGCACGGCCGAAGGACTTTCGAGCCGTGATTCTCGGCACAATTCCCATTTTACTCGATACTCGAACTGGCTCGGCTGGATAAGTAACAGGCGATTCGTTGATCGTTACCTTGAGGGAAGCGAGTTCGGTGCGTAGCTCCCGTAGTCTCTGAGCGTCACAGGAGGCCTCGCGGAGATTCGACTCGAGCCGGGCGCGTTCCTTGCGTAATACGTCGATCTCACGCTCGAGTTCCTGCATCCTGGACCCCTTGACGGGTCCCTTGGGATTGTAGCCCGCCTTCGCGTTCCCCTTGGCCCCCTTCGAGTCCCAGTTACCCGCGGCCGGATTCTCGTTCTTCGCCTCCAGGGAGGAGACGCTCGGCGCCGGACGCAGCGAATTCTGTTGCTGCTGCGTCGGTGGTTGCTGCTGCTGTTGCTGCTGCTGCTGCTGCTGCTGCTGCTGCTGCTGCTGCTGCTGCTGCTGCTGCTGCTGATTCTGTTGGCCTCTGCGAAACAGCGATTTGAACTTCATCATGGTCGCGCGTCGCACTTTACTTTCCAGTCGGATCGAAATTAAAACTAGATCGTTGTTCTCCTAAACGCGAGAATTCGTCTAACGATTGACGCATCGTCGATATCGTCGACGATCATGGTTCGATCGGTGAGGGCGGGTCATTCACGCACCAAAGTGGCCTGCACCGTTGCACTCGATCTACGCGGACAACGCGATCTCGCGATCGATCGGAATCCCATGCCCGAGAAACAAACGCGTATCACAGGCACAATCGACGTAACTCGTTTCCACCTTCGTACGAATACGAACAAACTTGGATAAAATGGTACGGAGAAGAGCAGCCAGCTCTCGTGCCACTTTCACGTGTCGTCCAATTAACGTTAGATTTCAAGTTTAACCGGAATACAGGGAAAAATATCCTTTTTCCCAAACTTTCTCGAGGCCGAGGTTACACGACGGGGAGCGATCGACTTCGCGCAACGTGTGACACGAGAATTCGAAGAGATGCTCGACCTCGAGCCACTTCGTCGTCCACGTTCACGAGTTCTAGCCTCCCCCCTCTCGTTCCGCGACTCCTTCGGAGCTAAGGTTACACCGCGGATGATGCTCCGACGACGTAGGAGTCGAACGTGGCACGAGAGATTCGAGCCAGGATTCGACTCAGCCTCCGACGGCGACCACTTGTTGCGTCCACACGCTCGCGCGTTTCCTCGAGAAGATGCCCGATCCAGGGACACGCTCGCATACTTGGACGTCGAATCGAAACCGCTTCGAGACGTATCCACGGTGAAACGAACCGTCGAGGTGTCGTCCAGACGCATCGGTAGTCGATCCCCCGTTCCTACTAGTTATCACTGGTTTTCCAGCTTTCGTACGACACCGATCACTTCGACGTGGAATCTCTCATCTCTCGAACAAGAGAACCCCGCGCGGCCGATCACTCTTTACTCACGGTACTCGCAAAGTCGTTCCTTATTCGGAACGCAGGGAAGGAACGACGCGAACTTGGCGAAGGTGCATCTGGAACTGAGGACGCACGACGACGACTACGACTACAACGACGACGACGACGACGACGAGTGGTCGAGTCGAGAACGACGAGAAGAGCGAGGAGAACTGACTGAGCTGAGACCTGAGACTGTGTTCTGTATCCCCTCCAGAGCGGTTTTCCCACTACGGGCCCCGACACTCGACACCCGACCACTTTGCCGGACGGGACGAAGGGCTCGAGAACACGAACGTAAGCGTTTCTAACAGCTAACGCCGTCGAATACTCTTGACGTTCACCAGCGTGCTATGCACGTATATATAACGACGATGCCACTGGTCTTCTTCGATGTCCATCCCGTTACGCATTGCCCCGTGTAAAAGGACGCAGTCGTTCGCAGTCTTTCCTGCTCGTTTCTCGTCGAGGAATAATTAAAGGATGCTGTATCGCGTAAATTTCTGCACGTTCAGAAAGACTTCTGGTGTACACATGTACGGTCGCTCGCGAGGTCGATCGAAAGCAAAGACGAAAGAGCAACAGAGATACGAACACGTAATTGGCGTCAGCGGGGCTTAAGACGATCTTTGCCGACTTTCGAGCACATGTTGTACGTACGTGTACACACGTGGAAGAGGGTCCGACCGACACGGAGGAAGCAAGAAGAGAAAGCAGAAGCTGCTCCGCTCGAGGAGGCCACAAAATCTGCAGACGCTTCGTCGTCGCATCGCGCGTCGACCAGTTTTCTCATACGGTCGACACATGGTACGGTTCGACGTAACGTACACCACCGTGACTTAAAATCCCCTCGGTTTCGAACGAATCTGGAACGCGAACGTCGTACGACGCGAAGGCGCAGGGTAGCCCGAAGAAGAGGAAGCCGACTGCGATCATCGATACGGACGATCGTCGGATTTCACAGATACGACGAAAGATATGAACATGTCGCGTTGAGAACGATGATCGTTCGCGTATCAACGCCTCACAGATCCGATTTGTTCGAGGCGGCGCATAATTGTCGTTAATTCGATTAACATTTGCCGGGTGTACTTATGACTGTGCGCGCATTCGAAATATCAATGGGAGAACGTCCTCCGCGATGTAGTCACGTAGGCTCGTCGATGCGCTCGAGCTTAAACGTTCGCGCGTTATTCATATACCGATCAACATTCTGTACGACGTTTCTATGCAATACAGAGACGTGACTGCGTTCCTCCTCCGCGAGCTCCGATTTATCTCTCATCCTGATCGTAACCGCGATCGGGCGTACTTTCCTTAAAACCACGGACCAATTCTAAATGCTTGTACAAATATAAATGCATGATGATCGTCAGTATCTAAGGAGTTGCATCTTATCTTTCTCCAAGGAGACGCGAGAAAGATAACGCGTTATCGCCAGGTGTAGGACGCGACGACGTACGATCGATATAAAGGCCGCGCGAAAGTATTTTTCTTTCAGAGAGATACCGCGAACGAATCCGGTGCAGAATTTTCCGACGGAAAGCATGCAATGATGCATCGGTACCATTGAAAGTAAACTGATTAAGAGCAAATAATGATCGAACGATGATTCGACGGCCGGAACACGTAGTCTTGTATCTCGCGCTCCGGTCCTTCTTTCGGACGATAAACGATTAGGTAGAAAGAGAACAGATAAAGATAAAGTCGACGATGCCTCGGTTGGCGCGCGCTGACGTCATTCCGTTCCAAGTTTTCGCTCGATCGACTTACTCAGTTAGGTACTCACAAGCACATGTACACACGTAAAACATACTTAAAAGTCGCTTCAAAGCGTACGTGTACTCAACGATTCCATTCATGATAGCTTGCCTGCACGCGTACATTTCTAGCGACAAAGGTTTTCATCTAATCGACATATATTCCGAGTTCTATAGGTCCAACGGTCGGAGCCAGATCATACATGGTCAGTACCAGAAAACGCGAATAAGGAAAAACACCGTTTTCACGGCGGACCTCGGTTTAAACGCTAAACGCGAAAGAAGTCGCGGCGAGGCGCTCATTGACTTCTGATGCACCGGGTAGGTGCATTTAAGTAGGTTGTCCGACGTCGGACCGAGTGCCGTTCTCAGTGCTCTCATCGTCGTAGTGGGCTTTTTAGAGTCCACGATGAGAAGAATCGGTCTGTTCCCGTTTCTTTCGTCCACTACGCCTCCTTCTTCCTCCTTTCGCTCGGACCCGCGTCTTTAAATCTCTGATCAAAAGCGACGACGACGAGCGTACGCGCGTTCACACACAGCAGGTAGATGCATCGAGAACAGTGGTGGCCGCGGTAAAAAGAGAGGTAGGGCGAATTATCTGATGTAATCGAAAGCCGATTTATGGTCACCTGGAACAGGATCGGACCGGTCGAAACGGGTCTCTTACGTCAAACGTTATGATTCAGTGGGAAACGTTAGAAGAAAGAAACGCGTGCAGCTCGACCAAGCTGACCAGATCGTAATCTACCCCGTAACACGGCGGCGAGTGTTCGCGAATTATTCGCGACGACAGGCCGACGGTGGAACTCGTAGGAGCGTCGTAAAAAGACCGATCGACCGACCATGGCGAGCGACGAGTCAGAACAGAAATGTTTTTCGTCAGCCTCGTTCTTTCCAACGGCACAGACTCCGCTCGAGCCTGTCGACGGCGGCGCGACCGCCGAAAAGAGAGGTAGTAACTGCGACCGGTGCAAAAAAAAGAAACTGGTTTTAAAACGCGGTAGCGCGGGCCAGAAATCGGGCCCGTTCGGCGAAGCGAGCCGTACATCTTTCGATCGTTTCACGATCATTTCTCGAGGCGATCGATGGCTGAGAATCGTCGGTGTCCGATAGAAAAAGTGGTCGCGCGTCCCGCGTCGCGTACAGACGTACCGTGACGAGAAATCGCGAGGACAGGAGAGCGTAGACGTCGGCGGTCGGGTCGTTGAACTCGCGCGAACCAAAGACGAGCACACGCGCGTCGCACATTTTCCTTTTCACTTTTTCGCCGCCACTTGAAATAAGAGGGTCGCGCGCGCCTGCCTAACTGGCAAAACGCATCGCGCGACCGCGTATGCGCGCTGTAATCCGATCGCGTTCCGACGATCAGAAAACTTACTCGAGCCGCTCTTCTACCCTCGCCTCCTGCCTCCCGGAACGCTCGGCTTTTCTGCTCGCTGGCCTTCTCGGGCCGAACAGCGACGCGACCACGTCCCGTTTCTTTCCACCGCCGGACGGCAGTGCACGTATGGGCTTCGATCTGAAATACACAAAAATCGTCCTCCCTTATAATCGACCGTCGCTTGTAAAACGCGATTCGTTCGACGCTCGCGTGTGGCTGCGAAACACGGGACGCTTGACAGCGTCATAAATAAACGCGCGCGTTTGTACAGGTAAATAAGTACGACGCGACCGTCTCCGAAACGGCGCGGCGCCTTCGATCATGTTTGCTCAGAGCTACGCACGTGTCACGATTGATCGCGGCGATGTCGCAACCGCATCGATTACGGAGCGACGAAGCTCGTTGAATTTTCACGAGGCAAGCAAAAGATTTGGAGGGAAGATCGACCGTCGAGGATGTATAAAAAAATACCCAGGGGACACCCGGGTTTGAACCGGGGACCTCTCGATCTGCAGTCGAATGCTCTACCACTGAGCTATATCCCCGACGACGGACAAAATTTTTCGAACGGCGTCGCGTCCCACGGACATTGGAAAAACTCGGCGAAGCGTCCTCGACAATATGAATCGACGTTTATTTGTCACGACTAGGCAAAGCTAGTCCATTACGATCGTGGTAACGATCTCCGCTTCGGTGCCTCGACTTCGAACGCTGGTTGCCGCCGAGCAGACCGCCGTCAAACCAGCCTGGTACCGTCATCTGTGCCGCGCTCGCTCAACTCTCGCCGCCGTCGTCGACGTCGTCGGTACGTACCGACGCCGCGAAAAGCTTGAAATTAAATGCGTGTTTCGCAACATTCAGCTGAAACGGGCAGCGAGGCGTAAAAAACGAAAGCGATACGTGTCCGATGCGCTCTTTTGATCAGCTCTCTCGCTCTCGAATCTCGTGGAAGAGTCGCATTCGACGAACGGGCAATTTACCTGGGTTTCGTGGACTTGTTCGCGATCGGCACAGAGGTGGCTGTTGCCCGTTTAAACGGCGCCCGCCCTCCCGAACCCACGGACATTCCGCTCCGAGCCTGAAACAGAATCGAGATTAAATGCGTCAGCTCGAGATTAGGAACTTACGAAGAGAAAACGCGATTACATCGTCGCCCCGTCCACGCGTCGTCCGCGAACGCGACTGTTCCGCGCATACGTACAAACGGACGCGCGCGTGCCCGTCCCCGGATCGACGACGACGCGGGCACATCGGCGAAACCGCAAGTGTGACATCCTTGACAAGGTGTCTTCTCTTACGAACGCGAATTCGATCTCGAGTCGACGGCGCCGTGGCGCGTGGCCACCGTACGAAACGTGCGTCGAACGATTATATGTAGAAACGAAGGCCGCCGCTCGGGAACACGACTGCGGTGCAACCGACGCGACGCCTCCGCGGATTCCCGATACACGCGAGCAGAGGCACGGTCCGCGAGTCTAGAAATATCGTGGGAACGAAACCGTTACCGTGTTCCCTCCTCCTAGGACGTCCAATATCTGTCGCAACATCTCCGGACGGTCCCCGCAGGTGGATCGCGCGAAGTCGATTATAATTAACTCTAGGTACTGTCCGTGTCGAATGAACTTTCACTGGTATCGCAAGCGAAACATTTCTCGGGCCGTGGCGAGAGCCGAAGCCGAACTGAGCCTACTTTATCGGTACGCGAAAACATCGACGGAATTCGAGGAGGTGCGATAAGAGGTACCTAAGTAAATCGGTCGCGATAAACCGAGGGATATCTACGACGTAGATAAACTGACGTACGAAACGGAACGAACAGCGTACGTTACCTTTGCCGAACGTTCGAACTCGTTAAAATAATGCGAATCCACGAGTCGATCTCCGGGACGCGCGTAGGTACAACGGGATCGAAGACAAATTCGAAAGACTTGGTTCTCGGAGGAGCCGAACGATCACCGTTTCCCTGGAGATTCGGCGGATGTTCAACAGATTTTCAGCGAACGAGTACACGCACTCGGGAGAGGTTCGATCAGAGGGGTACGTGTCCGTACGTGCGCGTAGCTGTAAAGGTTCATCGAACCTCGTGGCGCGTACGGGTTCTCGTCCTCCGCCAATAATAAAGATGCATACCCGGTACGTGGCTACGTTCTGCACATACGTGTACGTCTGAGTGAGTACTGCTCTGCACCGACGAGAACCGTGCAGGTACCGCATAGGCGCCGTGCTTCGTTGCAACCGTTGAACTCGATGGTCTTCGAATCGTTTCGGGCTTCGCACGAGAACCTGTAACGATGTACGAAAGTGGACGCTCGACGACCGACGCCAAAGGCGAAGCGAATCGTATCAACAGCTGGAAGTTACCTCCACGCTCGCGTTCCGCTGCGCCGTTCTCGATCGAGACGTTACGAACCATTTAAACCACACGCGAGTATCGAAACGTTCGGTTCGCGAAGCGCGCGTGCATGTGCACGACCGGTCAGCCGGTGCCGGTCACCGACAATGAGTCTCGCGCGATCCTTGTTCGTCGAAGGAATCGGAATTGTTGGGGAACGAGCGCGCGCGCGGATCGTTGCCCGATCGTTCTCGTGGAACCGAGTCTTGCGTAATTGGCAAATTGACGGGTCCGTCCGGGTGAACGCGCGTGGACGCGCGATTCCGATCGGCGCGAGACCGACGATCCCGCGTCCATCGTTTACCGGTGATCGCGAACGATACGCGCGCGGCCGTGACCCGAGGTCGACCCCACGGGGGAATTTTTCGTTCGCTTCGACGTCTTCGGCGTGGAGCGTGGTTCCCGTGGATTCCGTCCCGTCGCAGGGTGTGGCGACGAGATGCACGTTCCAGCGGCCTACACTTTGTCAACGGGAGCAGCAGCCGGGGTAACGAACATCGAGCGACCCACGCGCGGTTCGACGGGTCGCGCGGTCATCTTTGTCATCTACGGTGTTCCCTCGAGCTCGCTCGAGTAAGTGCGCCTCCACCCGCGCTATCACTCCTATGACCGGTCACCTCGCGCACTCGTCCGCGCGTACGTTGAAGCGTGACGGAAGGCGGTTGTGATCGCACCTGTACATGGGTATCCAATTTTGGTATCCGGTGATCGCAGCCGGCGGCAGCGTCGGCGGTGAACGAGAGAAGGAAAGAGCGCGAAATCGAAACTATCCGCGCGATTCGGCAGTTCAATGCGAACTGGCTGCGGCCGTGCCTCCGTCGTAGAGCGCACAGTGGCTGTGGCTACGTCCGTAGTCCATGCCATTCCATTTCTCGTTATTCCGCCGCTCTGTGACCTCTCCTGTCCTCCCTCCCTCCCTCTCTCGCCCGCTCTTTCTCTCTCGTTCGACTCGTCCCTTCGCCCGACCAGAGTCGCGCTCTCGTTACGCGAACGATCGGTCGCTCGATTTCTGACGGCGTCGTTCCTCTTCTCGATCGCTCCCGTCTCGGATGAGACGTGCAGGTCCGAATCGCAGCGTCAACGACGAAGAGGAAAGTCGACGGTGAACCGGCCATGTTGGTACCCGCGCGGCGTTAGAACGTAACGCGTAGCCTCGTTGAACGGAGGATACACGGTCGACTCGTAGAACCCCGTTCGCCGGCCACCTTGCGATTCGTCACGATGCATTGGAATTGGAAAAAAAAAGATCCGAGTCATCCTCGAAGCGATTTCGCGGTATTTCGCAGAGTGACACGAGAGAACGTGGTCACGGCTCATTTATCGGCCAGGCGCTGGAGTTGAAAAAGGTGCCGTGCAGAGAAATGGGCGCGATCCATCGCGTCGTCTCGTTGGCTCGGACGGCCTTGGTGCACGCGAACTAGGTGACCTTCCGAACTGATCGCCGCTAATTTCATTTGTCGTGCGTGTGCATTAGGTAACGTCGCGTCGCGAGTTCCCGCGCGCGCGCGCGCCGCTCGTACGACGAGCGTACGGATAACGGTCGCAGAAAACGTTCGAAAGCTCCCGTCGCGCTCCAAATCCAAATACCTGTTCGCCTCTCTACCCACCTGGCTTCATTACGGCTCGTAGCGTCCCACGTAGATCTAGCCACGGATCGCGCGGTTGGAATCCCGTGTTGCCTTCCCGATCCATCTTTCCTCGATTCCGATTCCACCCTCGTGTCACCCCCTGCAACATTCACACGTTCAGTCTTACCACGGATTTAAAGATGTTTGGAGATCGTCGTGTATACTTTTCGTTTCCTGAATCGGCCGACGAACGATCGTACGACACAGATGATCTCCGAATTTCTAGAGCACTGGTCGTGGGGGGTCGCAAGAGCTACTCACGGGACGATCAGCGAGCTACTCGGCTCTGTTTAAATCGTGTCGTCTATCAGGCATCTTCGAACGAATCGATGATCCGATGATCTCTTTTTCACGTTTCTCGCGATCGACGGGAGGAGAACGAACGAGACACCGCGTGCACCGCGTGCGAGTGTCCGCGACAGACTGGCGAGACCGAGACTGCCAGTCGCAATAATTCGCAGTGACGATGCGACGACGCATCGTCTTCTACTCGGATGGGTAAACTCGGATAGAAGGTAGAGATGGACGGATGCGGTGGCACGGGTAATCACTGTGAAGCGTGCAAATACACGCTTCACGCGTCGAACGTTGTCCACGGTCTCCCAACGAAAATGCTAATGCGTCCAGACGTTCGTCGGCGCATTAAGTTAAGTCGTATCTGTCGAAACGCGTCGACAAGGACGATAAAAAAGGATATCGATCGATCGGAATCGTCTCTCAGGCGATGGGTCGCAGTAATTCTTAGGTAACCGCGAGGGTGGGTCCGGCTGTCCCTGACCGACACCCGTGACTATACGTTACGAACCCGTTACGATCGTTTCGCGATTAACGATCGCCAACGAGAAATAATAATTTTGGAACGAATGAATCAGACGGGACGATTTTGGCTACCTGTCGAGGGTCAAACAAACGAAATTACATGGGCCGACATATGGCGATCGGCCGTGCTAGATAAGATACGCGTTCGATGAAATTGGACCAAGCCCCGACCGTGTCGAAGTTACGGCACGTTCCAAAAACGATACTCGTATGAATTGCGCGAGATCGGGGTAAACACTGAACGGGTGCGTTTTCGAGATCAACTTAATTTTGACTCTCGTTCCGACGCACCAAGTGGTCGCAGCGCGAAGGTAAGCGTCGAAAATAGTCGCGTTTCCGGCAACGCGAACCTAGACCTTGCTCGTAACTCGAGCAGCGGAACCGCGGCGACGCGCATCCAGCCGCAGGTGCGTGCAAGAGTCACACTCTGGCAAGTGCATCACAGCGAGTGCGAGTTCTACTGCCAAACTAGAGCGGTGTATGCTAAAGATAGGTCGGGGAACAGCGTGGCGTACCTACGACCGAGAGGAGAACCGGTGCGGGGGACAAGGGCGGCCTTGGCCTTACGAGTTTATATAACGAGGAAGCGCGAGAATCGCGAGCTCAGTCGCGCCGCGGGTTTCGATCCACCGATCCGATGCTCTGCTTGATCTCTCGAGGTACTCGCGTGCTTCGATCTTCGAAATATCCTTCTTCAGGAACGCGATCATGATAAACGTCTGTTCGCTCTGTTCACGCGTCGTTCGATAACTTGCACCGATAATTAAATTGACCGCGATATCCCCCGCTCCCCTTTCCTCTCCATTACGCGTTAGATATCTCGCGAGTCGTTTGAATTACGATCGAGGGAAATCGTAACTCGTTAATTGATTAATCGGTCATAGATCAGAGCGTTCAATCGGCAAGCTCTTGAGATCGCGAGGATGCGGTTCGTCGGAGGGTCAACTGGCTAGTCGTGTAAAGTACACTAGATCGATGAACAATTCGAGAGACGACGTGGTACGGTGCAGCGGCTGTGAACGTTTGCCGGGAAGAAGAGCGCGCGGTCGGATCGTTCGAACGTGACCACTGAGCGCGAGGGCAAGTGGTGGTGCTTCCGGTGTGCAGAGTAAAATCAAACTTCCGCCGCTCGGGAAATTGCATCGCATTGGTAAAACCAGAGGCCGAGAAACGTCCAAGGTCTCTGTTCGTCGTTATCGTTACCTATTTCTGGAGAACGACGTTTCACGCTCGACGGAGGGAACTGCTGTACGTTTCGCGGCGAGTCTAGGATCGGAAAAAGGCGATGCGTCCGATCGTGCTCTGGGCGTTGGTCGCCCTGATTGGCCGAGCGGAGTGCAAATGCAGCTTAGCACCGATCGTGGACGACGAACGCTCGATCGCCTACGTCTGCACGCACGGCGACCTCAACGACCTCGGGGAGATATCCAGCGAGGCCGATTGGATCGAGTTCACGGTGTCCAGGTTCCACGTGATCCCGGACTACGCGTTCTCCCGTTTCTCAAACCTGCGGAGACTATCCTTCTACAATTGCCGCGTGAACTTTATCGCCCCGAACGCGTTCTCCGGTTTGGACGGACTGGAATGGCTGATATTCCACGGCACCGGGATGCTCGTCGCCAGGACCGCTTGGTTCCTGCCGCTGTCCAACCTGAGACGACTCATCCTGGACAGGTAAACTGATCGTTGCGTAATCGCGCGCGAGACGATCGAACGGTCGGGCGCGCGAGTTCCGCGTGCTCTATTCTCGGGATCTATTTGGATTACGCGGAACGAATCGACCAAGGTAGGCATCGCGAGGGTCGACGCGAGGACGGCGGTGGCGCGAACAAAGGTCGACGATAGCGGCGACCCAGAATCTGAATACGATTCCAAGAAACGCGTCGTGGGACGAGAGAGCGCGCAGATTTACGCGAGAGACGCGGAAGCGTAGCGCGGCGTTTCCTTGTTTGAAACGGCAGCGCTCCCGCGCCTTAGTTAGAGCTGTTGGATAATAACTGTCGCGGCGGTTACGTAAAAATGATAATGAATCTCGTGACTGCAGCGAAGCGCGCCGGGATCGTTTACAGATGCGGCCTGGTCCACGTCGAGCCGGACATCTTCCGCATGCTGCCCAGACTGGAGGTCCTCGGTCTGCGCGACAACGATCTCGACTGCTTGCCGATCGAAGATTTCGAGTACTTGAGAACGCTCAAGACCGTACGCATCGACGGCAATCCTTGGGACTGCGAGTGCCGAGCGAGGCTCGACGAATACCTTCGATCGCGGTCCATCGTGCAGGAAGTAGAGTGCCGCAGGCAGGTTCATGTCTGCCGACGGTACCAATGCATGACTCCGATTCGATTTCCCGTTCTTCCCGCCGTTCTAACTGCACAGAGCACGCACGATTGGGAGAGGGCAAGTAGCGTAGTAAACGTTGGATCCTGGACGATCGCGTGCACGCGATCGTCCAGGATCCAAATTCGTCGATGAGCACCGGGTGTACGCTAACTTTGTCCGATTCCTCGTGTACGCAGGAACGCGCGGTCATTCGTGGGAACGAGTTCCAAACGAACGTGTTCACGTCCCTGGACAGGCTCCCGGATAAGACTGCGTGGATCGAGATCTCCGGCTTGACGATAGACGTTCTGCCGCGGTACGGGTTCTTCCGGTTCGGGAACAGCTTGCAAACGTTGGATCTGATCGATTGTCGCATCGCTACCATCGAGAACGAGGCCTTCGCCGGCTTGAACAAATTGCAACGGTTGTCCCTGGTCGGCAATCGGTTTCCGGTGTTGGGATCGGCCTGGTTCCGAAACCTCGTCAATCTCCAGCAGCTGATCTTGCAGCGAAACCAGATCGAGGAGATAGAGAGAACCGCGCTGTGGCACGTGGGCGGTAGTCTGCGTCATCTCGACGTTCGGGACAATCGTCTTCGATGCATCGCCGTCGGGGAGCTGGCCGAATTGAAAAAGCTGGAGAAACTGGACGCTACGGGAAATCCATGGCTGTGCGCTTGTCGTAGGAATCTACAGGAATTCCTCACGCAGAGGAACGTCGGGTTCGAGATCAACGCGGGTGGATGCTACGAGACCGAGAGCGAAATCCCAGGTGGCACCACCGGATGGGGACAGCAACAGGTAACGCGCCAATTTCTCACGCGATCTCATGTACGCGTACATCGTACGAACACGTAACGAGTAATTTTTATGTTCTACTTACACTTTAGACGATCGTGCAGAACGCCACTCTCACTAGCGGGAAAGTGCACTGGACTTCCTTCGAGGACACCCTCCACCAAACGAACGTTTCGGTGATCGTCAGACCGCCGCCTTCGATTCCTCCGCCCCATCGGCCGACGATCAGCGTGGTGACGCCCCAGCCTCCGGTTTACGCGAGCACTTGCTACCCTGAAGGAACGATCGACGGTTACAAAACGATCTATGTCTGTCGCGCGATCACCTCGATAGAAGACGTGAACGCGGTGCCCCGCAACGCGCACACGATTCGCGTTATTCTGTCCAACATCCAGACGATTCCCGCGCGATCTTTCGTACTTTTCGACGGCCACTTGACGAGACTAGAGCTTCGAGACTGCGGCATTCGAACGATCAAATCACACGCATTCGCTGGCCTGTACAACTTGGAGTATCTGTCGCTCCGCGACAATCAACTCGAGACCATCACCGTGGACATGGTCCAGGACCTCCGTAATCTACGTCATCTCGATCTATCGCACAACAGTATACATCGAATATCAAACGATGCGTTCGACCGGCTACCTTACCTCGTTCATCTGGACGTCTCCTCGAACGTTATGAACTGCATCAGCGTCGAGTACATGGCCCAACGTTTGCGCTACTTGCACTCCTTGAACGTAGCCGACAACCCTTGGAGCTGCCTGTGCGCCAGGAAGCTGGCCGAGTTCTTGGACGACCGGCGCGTCCAGTACGACGAGAAGTCGTTGCTGTGGAAAGAGGATTGTTTCGCACATCCGACCCCGAGGCCAGGGGTCACCATCAGGCCCACGGTTCCGACGATCCCGTTCACTACTACTCTCACACCGATTTCGACGGAGACCGTTACGGGAAACTGCACCGCTCGCGAAGATCGCGCGGGAATTCGGTACCAGTGCGCTGGCGGTAATTTGCTGCTGTTGCAATCGATACCGCCAGAGGTGACTGCTATCGAATTTTACGACGGTCATCTCCCGCTAATCACTTCCGATTGTTTCTCGAAATTCGTCAATCTCCGGGAACTTATTATTAGAAATTCTGGCTTGATCAACATCGAGCAGGGCGCGTTCAATAATTTGAAACGGTTAGAGAACCTGACGATCCAGGATAACCCGTTGGAAACGATCGAATCGTCCTGGTTCGTCTTCGAGAATCTCGACAGGTTAGACTTACGTGGAAACTCGATCAAGTTCATCGAACCTGGATTGTTTCGATACTTGAAGCGATTGACTTACTTGAACTTGGAGGGAAACGATTTGCGATGCATCTTCAGTAGCGACTTGAACGAGATGCCGAACGTTTACGTAGTTCAATTTTCCGGTAATCCTTTGAAGTGGCGGTGCAGGGTCGAACTGGAGCAGTTCTTGGAAGCTAGGAAGATCCGGTTCACGGTGATCGAGAATTCCTGCGAAGGAAAGAAGCTGGTAAGAAATCTTTTGTTGGTGAACAAAACGGACGGCTCTTTCGATTGTCCATCGGATTGTTCGACGGCTACCAGTACGATAGATCGTCGTTTCTTCGTTGTATTTCTCCTGTCGTTGATAACGCTGGCCTACTAATTGTTCGCCGATATTCGAATACTTAATTAAGTATACAGTACAACGTCATGTGTTCATTCGTCACAAAACGCGTTCTGCACCGGTTAGGAGATTTTTGTTTTTGTACATAATACGTAACGTAATGCGTCATTAATGTTCTTAATCCAAATTGAAGCGTGATAAACATTTTGCAACGCAGAGCTTAGCAAGTTTAACAATGATTTATTAAATGCGTGTACACATTTACGTACACGTGCACCGACATAAAAATGGTAGCTGCCGAAACCGTGGGACCAGAGCATCTCTATAGTACGTACTTTTTTAACTCACTATTCCTGATTAGCTACTTGTTAGCGTTACGTGCCATACTTCGTGCTGTATTAAATTGTCGTACGTATTTGTTGTAAACTATATTTTAAATCGTTCGTTGGGAAACGTTCGTCACACCGGCGATGTGTCGTCTCGGGTCGTACGTGTGAACAAGTAGAGTCGCGTTCGGAAGATACAGCGACGGACAGCAGCTATGGAGAAACGGGGTCTAGGTCGATGCGGCATCGATTAACTTACGCTTATAGGTAGGTCTTGCGATTAGCGATTGCACAAATAAATGTATGTATAATTTTAAAAATTAACGGCATTTTTAATGGCGCCATTTTGTAAAACCTTGAAGGCCCGGCTAGCTCAGACGGTAGAGCATGAGACTCTTAATCTCAGGGTCGTGGGTTCGAGCCCCACGTTGGGCGAATTTCTTTTTGCGAATTAACAGAGATACCAAACGTCTGTTTAGGTAAATGGTGGTGAGGTATCGTTCATCCCCGCATCTCATTTTGCATCATTCGAGAACGTAACTTTTGTTAGACAGAAAGTAAGTACAGGGGACGTCGGACGGTTCCAAGTTCAGCGCCACGAGGAGGACCGAGGTGCAGTGTGTCTGTACATCTTCTCGGTGGTTCGGTTCATTCAGTTCAGTTCTTTTACACAAAGAGGTCGTACGCAAACGTAACCTGCATCCGTTTCGTCTATTCTCCTCGCAGAGAAAACGGACGTTCAGTTAAAACAAATTAAAATAGTATCGCGCGCTAATTAAACACACGCTTTACCGAAAATAGAACGAACCGTGACAGAGGAATTCTCGTGTACCGTTCGTTGTTACTCTATTTATTCTGTAATTTCGAAAATGGCTTTGAAAAAAGACTTGCGACTATTGTTGAAGCCGTATTATTTGATAAACATTTTACTCAGCCTCTCGTACGTCGTCTGCAAGCGTGTTCCGATCGTGTGCAATTACGTATTCGCACAATCCGAGTGCGAACTCGATGGGGTGAGTTCTTTTAACAGCAAAGCGATTTTCTCCCACAGAACGTTCTGTTAATTATTCGTATGTTCACGCAGAGGGAAACGGAGATTCTATTTTTTCTTATAATAGTCATAATGATGAGGACGAAAAAGACCGGTAGCGTTACCATGATAAGTTACCTGTCGTCCAGCTTCGTATATACCAAAGTTGCCAATTTAATTCTTTGGTTTTACGCGGACGTCCGTATGGGAATAATGTTCGCCATCGTATTGATCTGTACGTGCTTCTTCGCATGCACTCTCGCGTGCAAATGTGCATCCGTTTATAACTGAACGATTGTAGTGTGCGGTTTACTGTTCCCCGAACCGACTTATCAAGGGCCAGAGAAAGTGACTTATCTGAGAGGTACGAACGGTCTGCAAGAGGAGCTGCAACGCGATACGAGAGTCGTTTGGTTGGTCGCGTTTTACACAGCCTGGAACCCAGCTTGTGTCAACTTCGCGCCGATATTCTCGGAGCTTTCGGCAGAGTTCGTAGACGTTACTTACGCTCGTACGTATAAGCCCGACAGTTCCCTGGAATAACATCTCCTGCGTTTGCAGATACGCTTTAGACAATCTAAAATTTGGTAAGGTAGACATAGGAAGGTATCCGGACGCCGGAGCAAAGTATCACGTTAGCGATGCTAGTACGAGCAAACAGCTCCCGACTCTGATCTTGTTCAGAGACGGGAAAGAGGTCGAAAGACGTCCGCACGAGGCTCGCAAGGGCAAACTGGTCAAATTTCTCTTCTCCTTGGTGCGTTGAACACAGTCTATATCTTTCTTCGTATCCTTCGCACTCCATCGAACAAGAGGGTTCGTTTTATAGGATAACATAAAAGCAGCCTTCGATCTCAATAACGTTTACAAGGACTGTAAGAAGAACCCGATCAAAAGGAAAGAAAGGAAAGAGAAGAAAGCGGTGAAGGCGGACTGATACCCCGGTCATCGTTTCTAGATCACGTTTGTTAATCGATCGTTAACGATGTCATAGCATTGCCGAACGTTCTGATCGAAGACACAACTTCTGAATAATGGGCGTAATCGCGGGTGTCTCGCGCGCAAATTTAGAACACAGGTTTGTAAATAATCTCGTTTATACTTTCCGTCGTACGCATTTCGGGCACTGCCGTATACCCTTAACAAACAATCTACTCGGTATCGATACATACGGAAAGAGGTGATCTATTCACGAAAGAAACAGAGGAGATGACAAAGTACCAGGTGCGTAAAACACACACAGTTGATAGGAAACCGACACTGATGGCTTTTAGTTGAATCGCGCATACATCGAATGCGATACTGCAGTCTTAATTAAATAAACGATTATCAAAATAATTAATATATGTACGATTGCGTGGTGTAAAAGTTTATTGTACAGGCGGCCAAATGGACGCGACGTTACAGTGCGCGGATTCCGGTAACCATTTTTGGTAAGCCGATAGGAGGACTGAAATTAGTATTAGATTTTAATTACGTGTCTGTAGAAAATATACATATACGTATACTCACAATTTCTATCTGCCTTCCAAGTCTCCAGCAACTTTTCTTTCGACATGATTCCGTGAGAGAGTAATAACTGTGTCACCTCTTGTACTCGTGGTATCAATCTGAAGCGAACGAAACAAGTATTTCCATCGAGTCAGAACAAAATAGTTCTGTACACGGTATCAAAGTCTTACTTGGCCCACGTCTTGTTGATACTCTGGGGCGTCGACAGCAACGAGGGGACGAATCGTTTCAATTTCGGGCAAACTTGTCCGTCCAAAAAGAAACACGCAAACCATTTGACTCCGTCAACCGACAACGGATACTCTGTTTCTATCACCGGCAACTTCCAACCGGCTCTTCCAAACGTTCCGGTTATATTGCACATCACCTTCCCGGTCTCCGCGTCGTATCTGTATCAAACCACTCACGTAGCCAGTCGTTTAAATAACAGTTAGATCGGAAAAAACAGAGTGATCGAACCTTGGCGGTGGATCGGTCAATGGTTCTCCGAGTTGACACAAAGAAGGAGCAAATTTAGGTAGCCATTCCGGTTCTATAGCCGTGACCCCACGCATGTACATTTTGTTTGTCTCGTATATTTCCTGGTAAACCACCCACTCCGGGCAGGTTCTCCGGAGAACGCAAGAAGAATGTGCGAACACCGGGTCCTCCATGTCCATGGTCCTAAACAAAATACCCGTACATGTCTACACGTTCAGCAATGATTTCCTGGACATCGCAATTCTCACTTGTAGGCATATTTCCATTTGGTCTTATCCTCCTCTTCGTTGACTTCGTCCGGCATTACTTTCCTCGCGACTCGATCGCCCATACCAGCAAGGACTATTTGTCGGAGCAACTTGGCCTCCGCGTCGATCGGAGGCTTCATTCTAATCAGAAATTTACTATGAATCTATCTATCGTACCGATGTAGACGACCAGACTTTACGACACAACGTACCGAGGATCGATGGTGAGATTCAAGGACTGAATGTTCAAATTGATCTCGTTCGTTAGCTGCTGTCGGAGTTTTCGGATTTCCACGATTGCTTTGTGTCGCAGACCGTGTTCCTCGCAGAAGGAGAGTAACATTCCTTTGGTTCCGGCGTATTCCGCGGCTCCCACCGCTCTGATCAGGACCATAGGATCACCTGGCGCGATACCTTTAGATTAATAATATTCGCGATCCACACACACGTACCTGTAATAATAAAAGTCGCATACCGAGAAGCAAACTGTTCCCTGTGCCAGCCCAGGTGCGTCTCATTTGCGTCCACCTGGTCCTTGAACCACCACCGTCCATCTCGAACGCTTCTATCAACACTTCTTGCACGGACAGTGCGGCTACCATGCACACCGTGTATCCGAGGAGATCGTACTGATGCGAGAGAGCCAACATTTTTCCGTAACGCGGTGCAACTGGAAATGAGGCGATGCTACGGCCGAGCGGCGTTACTTTGGCACTGTAAGAGTCCTCCTTGTCCGCCGGTGGCTTTTCCAGAGCTCCGAGTATCGCGAGCCTCTTCTCGGCCATCTTCAGTTGTACGATGTCCGGTGGCGTTGGAAACGGGAAATTGACGACTTTGTCTATGTTCATCACCTTCATCTGTAGCAGCAGATCGTCCACAGGTTTCCTCCGTATCTCTGACTCGCCGTACTGTTCGAACTGGTCGTTGAAAACCGCCGACGAGTATAATCTGTAACAATGCCCGGGACCGGTTCTACCGCTTCTCCCGGCGCGCTGATTAGCAGACGCTTTGCTCGTGAAACTGATTCTGTACGTGCTCACTCCCGTCACCTTATCGTACATCCTCATCTTGCAACGTCCGCAGTCGATCACGTACTTTATGTTGGGTATGGTCAAAGAAGTTTCTGCCACGTTCGTGGACACCACGCAGAGACGATGACCCTCCGGGGGTGGCTCGAACACCCTTGCTTGCTTGTAACTCGGAAGAAGGGAATACAATGGTAGGACCCACAGCGGCTGTGCGTTAGCACAAGCCTTCAGATCGATCACGTCCTCATCCTCTTCCTCGTCCTCGTCCAAGTCTTCTCCGATCTCGTCATCGTCCGCGTCGATCAAGTCCTCGTGAGTGTCACCGATGGGAATCGCGGAGTAATCGTCCAGATCGATATCTGGTAGATGTACCCGCTTCTTCTCTCGTAATTTGTTATAGCGGATCGCTTCTTTGCAACGGTAATCCTCGTCGCTGTCACCGTTATCATCCTCGTCCTTCTCTTCGACACTTTCCTCTTCCTTCGAGAAGCATTCGTCTGTTTGCGGTTCCTCACTCTCCGTTTTATTTTTCTTATTCTTATTCTTATTCTTCTTATTCTTATTCGCCTTCTTCGTGGAAAAAGCCTTGCGTAATTTACGAACCAGAAAATTCACTTCATGCTGCCCCGTCAAAAATATCAAGATACCGCCGTCCGGAAGGCGAGTGTGTATTTTAACAGCTTTTTTTAACGCATCGGAGACGTAATTAGTACTCGTCCTTCTGTTGAAGTGTATAGTAACAGGAAACTGTCGCGATTCCACGGTTAACACCGGCGGCTTCACTTTAAACAATTTAGCATTCTCTACGAACTCCTCGACGCGTAACGTAGCCGACATGATCACGAGTCTCAACGGGTCATTCTTTTTATTTCGAAGCGGTACGATCCGTGACAACAGTCCGATTAAAATGTCAGTGTATACGCTTCGTTCGTGCGCTTCGTCCAGAATGATGACCGAATATTTCGTCAATAAAAAGTCCTAGAACGGTAAAAGGTAATACAATGTGTGACCCGGGTCCTGATCCAGTCCAGGTTTTTACAAGGAATGCCTACGTACCGTTTGTATCTCCTTCAACAGGACACCGTCGGTCATGAATTTCACTTTCGTCTCTGGCGTGACGTTACCCTCGAAACGAATCAAGTAAGAAACCTCCTTCTCGGTAAGATTCATCTCTTCGGCCACGCGTTTGCTCATAGACGTCGCAGCCACTCTTCTAGGCTCCGTTACTCCGATCAACTTCTCACGAGCGTAACCAGCTTCGTAGAGAAACTGCGGCACCTGGGTCGTTTTCCCACTGCCGGTTTCGCCAGTGATGATCACCACCGGGTTTTCATTGATCGCTTCCACGATCGCTTGCTCCTCCGCCACTACTGGCAATTTTAATCTATTCGCTTGTATCTCCGGTTTCCTTTGCAACGTTACGAATACCGCAGGACTTTTCTCGATCGTAGCTTTCTCGACAGCATTCGCAGCGGTCGGCTTCTTTTCTTCAACGATACCTTCCGTTATACTTTTAGCCTCTTCCACTTCCTCTATCATTTTCCTATCTTCTAGATCGCTCTTCTCTATTCCCGCATCGGATTCGGTTTCACTCTCGCTGGACTCCTGAAACGAATCGCTGTTAAAAATCTATATGGATGTCGCAGGTATCGTTAAGGACATATAGACAAAGTTGGAAGAAACAACT